AACGAACCAGACGACGTGGAGGTGCTGATACTCGGTGAGACGGAGTAACGTATCGGCAAACTGAGCCACTGCTACGTTGGTGGTAGCCGTTGCGACGACGAGTTGTGCCGGTGCTGCGACGCGCGCGGCGATCACCGCGCCGACGACCGTTTTCCCTGTTCCATATGCGGCTTGTACGGCCAAGATGGGCCTATTTTCGCAGCCGAGTTGCACAGCCTGAGCTTGGTCTGGCCGGAAACGGATGGTGGAAGAACCCAGGCGAACGGAGACCGGTGTTAGTGGCCGTGACGGTACCGCAGCAGTCATGGAGCGACGACGAGGACTACCATAGACTGCATTTAGGATGTCGTTGGCGACTGATGGAGACCTGACGGGAATGTTCTGGAACAGGTTCTCGCTGGCCAGCACTTCGAACAGGGGATCCGTTCCCGTAACTGCTCGGCAAAGACGGACGTTGACCCCGACGTGGGCACACTGATTGGTGATGTCTACAGATCCGTGACGCTCAATCGCATGTCGAAGGGATCGGTGGGTCCGAGGATCCGAATGGAGCTCGACGCTGAGTATCTTGGTAAAGTTGAGTTCCGTAGCCATTATCGTAGTTCGTGCGACACGCTGAGTATCTTGGTAAAGTTGAGTTCCGTAGCCATTATCGTAGTTCGTGCGACCATGGACGAGTTGGTGATCCATACGTCAACCGAACGTCCGCGCGACCATCCTGCTTCCGATGACATTCGACGCAGCTCGATTTGCAGTCGCACGGGGAGGGCGTTGATGCTTGGGAACGAATGCAGCTACTTCGTGTGTCCGTTTATCGTCCAGAAGGACGGCCTGTGCTGCCAGCGCGGCGCTCGCAGTCGCAAAGAGTTTGCTCATACGACGACGAGCTACGGTCGGATCACGAGAGTAGTTGGAAAAGTCGCCCATGCGATCCCATGATCCAGTCCAGGTCGCGCTCAAGTGGACGATAGACCCGCAATGGCAACATAGCTTCTTCCGGATATGCTGGGATAAAACATCGGACGGCATTAACCAGGACTCGTTCGGCTATGACGGAGATCGCGGGAACACAAAACCGCATGGCGCACGATACATTACTTCGTGCTTCTCCAAATAACAAGGTGTCTCTCTCTATCTCGTTCAGGTCGAAGTCACAGAGTGCAGGAGAAATCCGAACGGCTTCCGGGCATCCTTGGAATGCGACGTGGATTGTATTGACCTGCCCGAACTCTCCTCGACGGTGGACCGCAAGCACAATGCCCAGAAGGTGACGTTCCACTGGAGCTGGTGTTACCCATGTGTATTCATGCACGCGAAAGAAGTAAGGAAGGTTAACGTCGAAACGTGATGCACGAGGCAAACGTGCTTGCCGGAGAACTTCCTCTCGATCGCGACTGCGGATGACTGCCTGTGTGGGTCGCAAAGTGAAGACCCATACGAGGTCCTTCACCGAAACTTGAGAAACATCGAATCCTCGCCTGCCGGAAAGAATGTTGACAGAGTCCTGTGCCAACGGGATGCAGTGAAGCTCCCGGAGATCCGGTCCGGGGATAAAAAAATCCTTGGCCTCTAAGATGACGCCTTGGCCATAACCACGGGCTACGACTTGGTACAGTACAGGACGTCGTCCTCCGCAAGATGGTGGGAAACACAGAAGAAGCGGGAGGGGTATTAGCGGGAGCCCACGGGATGCGTCGTATATCGAGGGTGTCATCACGGAAGGAGAGGCATTGCTTTCATTGATCTTACTGGTCAGCAACGCGGTCGTGGTGCAGATGTCGCTCCAGACTTGCTCGATAGCTGAAGTCGTCACGTCGCGCAGGGCCTTGGCGTTCCGTCCATGAACTGAGGCATCGTCGGCGAAGTCATCGAATAAGAAGGGTGTCTCTTAAAGCACCTCCTGAGGGTCCGGCTTGGTGTCAGAACTTTGGGCAGAAGCCCCGTCGGAAGGGTGGGATGTTAACTTAGTTTGACTGCGAGTAACTGGCATAAAGCAAAACTGAATAGCAAATCAGTAACATGAAATAGGAGGAGGCGACCCTTTTTATGCAACGGATGAAAGGCGGGCCAAGATGGCATGGAAGGAATGCTTTTATCGCCGCGATTCTTAAACATCCTTAACGCCTAAGTGGGTGGGAAAGATAACGGCTGAGAAAAAGATATAGCGAAGCTAAACAAATGCCAAGATCTCAACCGGGATTATAGCAGAGATGACTGTAGGAAACATTGCAGCGGCTGAGCGACTGATAATGGTGCGACCACATCGCCATGGGGAAAAACATCGCCGAGAAGAACTTAATAATATTTCGAAAGCGTGGGTGCCGTAGGGCGAAGAAGAAAAGATAATGTTTTGCGTAGATAGCTAAGGCGAGACTCAAATAGGGCGGACGAAGAAAAGAAGAAAAGACACCCAATATCCCGAAGTGTTGGGGTGGACCGCCAGAGTGGTGGAGGAAGAGCCAGAAAAAACGTGGGAACCCAGCTAGTCATGGCGCTAAACTGACCGTCCCTGTCGGGAGTGCCGCAGGGGGTGAAAAGCTGCAATCCCGTGAGGGCGGATCGAACGGTCCTCTCGCTTAACCGGGTCGTAGAACCATTTCAAAAGGTCCGGCTGCCAGCAATGGAGATGGTAAACAGCGTGAAGATCGAAGAAAGCCGTCTAGCAACGGGCGTGCTTAAGTGCAGGCAGACGCAGCGATCAAGAATGAAGCTGAATGAAGCCGCGAGAAAGATGAAGAAGAGATATGACTAACGCTAGGCGGCTAGAAAAAAAAGAATGGCAAGAAGCTAGAGATGATGAGGAGTACTATAATGGCCCATGGAAAACATGAAAGGAGCATACGAATCGATAGTGAAACGAGGAAAAGAAAAAACAACTTAGGTTAAAATACGTATAGTTACAAGTGCTCTCAGAAAAAAAACTTTGGAAGGAATTGTGGTGAGCACCGGACAAACAAAAAGAGAACTGTGTAAATAGATCCAATAAAATTGCAAAATCCTGCTTTGAGCTACGGGGAAAACATCCCTATGCATGCATACTTCACTTCAATACTTTGCTGCTGCTCAACTAACATCACATCCTGACTTTGGCCAAAGAAACCCTCGAATCCGAACTCTGGTCCGGAAGCAGCTACTGTGTCGCGACTACCATAAGAAGGCTCTGGAAGTAAGAGAGGAAAGAAAAGAAGAAAAGAAAAAAATAGGTAGGGTGCAGATCCTGCTATGGTGTTAAACAGGTGACCATAAGGTCATAAAGCTAGGAGTTATAGCAGAATAGGAACGGGTGCAAAAAGAGAGAAAAGAAGTGCTGTTTCGCGTCGAGCAGAAAGACTGGGAGGCGGTGGGGAAGAATCCCTCGAATCCAAATTGTCGAATTCTATCCCCCGCGGTTGGGTAGCGTTCAAAAAAGAAACGAGGCGAGATGTTGTAGAGAAAAAAGGGACTATGGAGTTTGAGGCAAGCCTTGTTGGGTGGCGGAAAGCCCATCAGAAGGAGGACAAAAAGTCGTCTGCGCGAAGCGGTGTTCGACAAGCTGCCCAAAAGGGCTTGGCGCCCCCCAAAGAAGGCAAAAAAAACGAACGAGGACAATTCAGGCTACGTAAGATTAGGAGAGACTACCATCAAACTGATTCACAACCAAAATGGAAAATTGCCGTAACTGACCTGACTCCTCCGAGTGCAATCGCACTCGCTGCTTCCAGTGATATACCGTGTGTTTCACCCCTTACAGCGAATACTAGTTGCAATCAACACATTTATCCGTGAGCAAGCGTAACAGGACAGTGGAATATGGCAGATGATGCATGACGAGCCAGCAGAGTCGTGTGGGCCTCTTCCGACCCGAGGTCCTGGGGAAGTCGGTCAGTGAATACCGTCTCCGTCGTCCTCTCGTCCTCCGTCGCAGAAGTCCACCACCGCACTCCCGTTGTCTTCGCTCGAATGCCTCGCGCCTCCGCCGCTGTCTCCGCCTCCTGAAATCGGCTCGTATCATCGAAGCATTCTCGGTCCACAGTACAAAGTTTATCTAATGATGTAATAATTAAGCCCGACTCCTACAATACAGAGAATAGTATCAACAAATATGAGGCTAACTTCAGTCGTTGCCTTGCAGATATGTAGTTGACCGCAACCGATCAATGTCGGTACGACCAGCCTGCACCACTAAACTCCTGGATTCCTGGACTGACGGCTAACCCTGAGAGACGCTACTTCCGTGTTCTGACGCTGACGAGTATTCTTGACAGCAGAAACAGACAGACAGAATATCAGAATAAGAGTTCCAACGAAGCAGAGTTGGAACTTAAGAACTCTATGACCGTCGGAGACACAGCCACCTCTCGACCGGCCGCGCGCCGCCAAGACACAGGAGCAAATTGAGGGGCAAGGGCATCTTCTGCTGTGGCCGTATCTTCACTTAGGTCATTCTTGATTACTTTCCTCCACCTTTTCTTTGGGCACCTCGTTGTCGCTTGCCTTGCCTTTCCTGTGGCCTCCTTTAGCACGTGCCCATACCATC